TTTTTTTTTTTTTTTTTTTTTTTTTTTTTTTTTTTTTTTTTTTTTTTTTTTTTTTTTTTTTTTTTTTTTTTTTTCATTCTGTTTGAATTTGAATGAGTAACTGTTTGGTAATTTTCTTCACGGACTGAGGGATAAACAATTTGGATTTGGAAATGTGGCTTAGAACGGCGGAGATTTTGGTTTATTTTTGGAGATGACATGTTTTGATGAACTGTAATGCTTGCTCTTTCTGTAATTTACGGGTTTCTTTTTCATTTGTTTTTACTTGGGCAAATTTGAGTTGCTTTATTATGATTCTAAATGGTTCTTTGATTGGAGGACTTAGATATGGTTAGCTTGACCTCTCTCGTTGTAAGATTAGGGTTTTGTGGAAGTCTCATTGGAACAAAAAAATGTAGATAGTTATTGCCGAGGATTGTTGGGAGGGAGTCCCACCTTGGCTAATTTAGGGAATGATCATGGGTTTATAAGAGTACATCTCCGTTGGTATGAGGTTTTTTGGGGAAGCCCAAAGCTAAGCCACGAGAGCTTATGCTCAAAGTGGACAATATCATACCATTGTGAGGTTCGTGATTCCTAATAGTTATAGCGGTTGCTTGTTCTCTCTTCTTCTTAAGAAATGTGAATAAGTATTGGATTGTGTGATATAAATTCTGAGAAATTTCTGGTTATGGGTTCTTTTTTTGTTTTCCATGTTAAAATAATGGCTGCTGTCCAGATATTTTGTAGATTAGAACATGGAGGTTGAGAAGAAACGCTCCAAAGGAGGCTTTCTTAACTTGTTTGATTGGAATGGCAAATCTCGGAAAAGGCTGTTCTCAAGCAGTAATGAGTTATCTGGTACATAATTCCTTTTGGCTTATGAGTTTTGAAGAAACTTGTTACTTTTGAGCATGGCAGTTTACTTATTCAATGTCTTGATCTTCCTGTTTTGCCTAAAAAAGGATTGAAGCAAGGAAAAGAAAATGTTGACAACTTGTCAAAATCACAGCTCTTTCAGGTAAGAACTGCCTTAGACATGGATTCTTTTCTTCTGCTTTAAGTTGCTTTACACTCTTCTCTGAAGGATTGTTCATCTGCAGTTAGAGACAAGTGAAGATAGAGCAAGTTCTAGTTATAAATTAACCGATGATTGGGATTTTTCTTTGACCAAAACCAGTGAAGAAAAATCTGGGGGCCGAGTCCCCAGTGTAGTTGCTAGACTTATGGGGTTAGATTCATTGCCTTCTAATGCTCCCGAGCTTTGTTCTACCTCATTTTTCGAATCCCGCTCCGTCCGGGCGTCTCATCATGATAACTCTAGTGGAGTATGGAACAGTCATTCTGTGGATTATATTGGTATGCCCAACAAACTGGAGAGGTTTTCTGGGAATCTCTTAGATTTCAGGGCGCAAAAAGTACCCAAGAGTCCTATTGAGAGATTTCAAACTGAAGTATTGCCTCCAAAATCTGCTAAATCTATACCTATAACTCATCATAAGTTGTTGTCTCCTATCAAGAGCCCTGGGTTTACTCCAACAATGAACACATGTTACTTAATGGAGGCAGCTACCAAGATAATTGAGGCAAGTCCAAGGAAACCCCTGAAGAGTAAAATGCTATCTATTACCAATTCCTCAGCGCCCTTGAGAATCCGGGTTTTGAAAGAGAATTTGGAAACTGCACACAAGTCTACAGGAATCAAAAAACCAACAGAAAATAGAAAAGGGAAGGCTAGTGAACAGAATTATAGTGGATCTGAACAACTTCTAGCGTCGAGGACTGATTCCCTTGGAGGTGGTAGAATTAACTCCAACACTTCAAAAGATAAAGGAAGACCAGCTTCCGTTGCAGGGCAAGCTAGAGCTAATCTTCATAGTAGAGGGGAATCAACTTCTTGTAGTGACAGGAGTTCAACGGATCGGAAAGAGCATAATGAAGTGAAATCGAGACAACTTTTCGGGAGCCAGCCCAGCTTGCAAAAACCAATGCAGAAGAGAACCGTGAAGAGAAATAACAATGTTCTTGCACAAAACAATCAGAAGCAGAATTCTTTACCCAACAAAGAAAAATTGCCTTCAAAACCTTCAAAGGTTTTGAATCAACCTGTCAAAAGGATTCAGTCTGCTAGAAAATCTGTAAATAAGGATGTTATCAACTCCGAAGTTGAATCGAAAATCACACGCACGAGAGAAGCTGATGGTAAAGAAGATTTTGCACCTTCCAAGAAAAATGTTGCCCCACGGAAGAAAAAATCTGTCAGTCAGGATGCTAGTAGTGAAGGAAGTTGTTCTGTGTCTAATGCTTTGATCCACGATGATGAGAGATCTGTCAAATATAATATTGCATTTGATGGTTCAACGAACTGTGATGAAAACAGGAAGCTGGGAATGGACATTGTTTCTTTTACATTCACATCCCCACTTAAGAAATCTGTTTCTGAACCTCACTCAGATGAGGTTGTAAAAATTAACCACAGCTTGGTCTTTGATTCGTGTAGCGAGAACGATTATTTGCAGAACCTATCATCATTTTCACCGCATTTAAATGACGTAAATGGTGATGCTTTAAGTGTTCTGTTGGAGCAAAAACTTCAAGAATTGACATGTAGGGTTGAGCCCTCTCAATCATATATGACAGGAGGAGGCATTTTCGCTTGTTCCGGGTCCAATTCGCAAAATCTTTTTGCCACTTCAGAATATGCCAAAAAAGAAAATGGCATTAGTTGTAGATACCCAGAAAGCCCCCATGATTGTGACGACTTGTCAATGGATAGCAACGAACTGATTGTCGATAAATGGCTGCAGGTATTGCTGCTTGCTATTGCACCTTTCAGCTGATGTTATCTTTATCATGGTCTTGATATTGAATATTGTCTTACTGCCTGTTTGAAATAACTATTTAAGTGCATTAAACACTTTTTCTTACTCGGAAATTATTCCAAGTCATTAGAGTTGTGAAATATCCATTGTTTCTCAACATCTCGTTCTGTATAACTAAACTCGTTCCAGTTTCAGGGAGCGAAAGACATTAAAGAACCTGAAGATAGTAACGACACTGAAACTGTTACCATGAGTGACTCTTTGATTGAGGACGAGTCTTCCCCAGACGATGGAAATAGCATCCATGGTAAATATCTCTTTTTCTCTTGAACTTTTTGAATTATCTGAAGAAGGCATCCTCTGAAAAGTTGGTATCACAAACAAATTTCACCGCCAAGTTTATCAGGAAAATTGCATATAAGTTTCTGATGCAATATAAACTGAGTAGAAATTAGTTTCTAGATTCTTTCGTTAACTTCAACCTCTTAGGAAATTTTAGAAATTTGTTTCATAAAGAAGTCTGTCTTAGTTTCTTCCTTCAAAAGGTTCTATTTCATCCATCACAATCATATCAAATTCCTCCTAGTTATGAAAATTTCCTGGAATTGACTCATTTTTGGGTTGTCTTCAGTCCAACATGTCGATACAATCAAGTTAGATCCAAAAAATCTCTACTCAAGAATGCTCGACGAGACACCGGTATTCGATTCTGCATCGAGCATCGACGAGGAAGATAAGTTTCAAACTCTTTCACCTACAATGATAAGTCCAATAAAAATCCATAGACCAAATGACTGGGAACTGCAGTATGTGAGGGAAGTCCTAAGCAAAGCTGAGCTAGCATTTGAAAACTTTACATTAGGTGTTGTCAATAATCTGGAGATTGAGGAAAACATCAAATGCAACGAGCTCGAACAGAAGGTTCTGCTCGACTGTGTGAACGAGTGTTTGGAACGTAAGCTGAAACAAATAGTAATTGGAAGTTCAAAAACTCGGGTTCCATGGACGAAACTGTTCGAGAATGATTGTTTAGCAGATGAGTTATGGAAAGAGATAGAGGGTTTGAAATGCTCAGAAGAATGGATGGTAGATGAGCTTGTGGAGAAGGATATGAGCACCACCCAACACGGGAAATGGCTCAACTTTGACATAGAAGCATCTGAAGAGGGGGTTCTGGTTGAGAAATGGATATTAAGTTCTTTAGTTGATGAACTAGTCAGTGATTTGCTGATCATTGCGGAAGAAGCTTAATCTTTTTCTTGTTCTGTTTCTTTTTTGGATATGAACATAAGTTATTGATGATGTAAAGTGATCAGATGGTGAGTTTCTTTAATGATTCTTTTATTTCCTTCTTGGAAATGAAAACTCGTGTCATACTGATTGTCCTTCATGTATTGTAGAGCTGCTGCTGGTACCCATGGATTGGCACCACATATATTGCAGGGGAAGCTCTGATATCTACTTTCAACTACTCTTCTTCTTCATTAACAGCTTCTTTTATAACAATATTAACATTCTTCTCTAGGAAGATTTTGGGGGTGGAGTTGAAAGTCATTTCTTTAAACTTTCTCGGGTTAACTTTGAAAAGTTTTTTCCATTAATAGGGCTAGGGCGGAGTCGGGATGTACTCTCTATCCCTGTTCCCATAATAGTTTAGGGGTATTTTTGATAATTTAACCTAAGATTAGCATCAGGATGTATTTCCCGTCCCCACCCGTTTCTCTATGTTGGAGAACTAAGGCTTGAGTCGAATAAACTCTAAATGAAAACATAAACTTGCTGAAAGAAGGGAATTGAACATAGAGAAAAAATGAGGGTTGGGGAAAAATCAATGTATTTCTAATGTCGAATCGGGATCAACTAGGATAGAAAAAAGTAATAGTTAAGAATAGTTATTGACTCCCGGGAAAGAGTAGAAGAATGGGACCTATTATGTGACATACAATGCACTACAAACGTATGATCATTACGCTTCAACCAGGTTATTCTATTCCACCTCTCAGAAAGAAAAGAACTTAAATCAAAATACTTAATAGCATAGTGATTAAAAAAACAAAAATATTTTAAATAAATAAGTATTTTTATATATATATATTTTTTAATTTGTGGTTTAATTATTTAAAAAATAGGATTTCCTTCCTTTAATTCGTTAATCTTTTATTTAGGTTTAAATGACATTTTATTTCTTTAATTTTAATTTTGGCCTATTGATAGTATATGGATTAATTAATTGAAATACGTTCAAATTGATTATATGTATTTATAAATGATAAAATAAATATTTTTTATTCCGAGTATTTTTTTAAATATTAAAAGACAATTATATTAATAACATGTAAATTTGCTCTAAATGTTCATCAATTAAAATAAAAAGAGTACGAAAGTTCAAATAATAATAATAAAAAAAAAACTCAGTAAAAAAATAAAAAGAAAATTTCATAAAATCTTAATCAATATTGAGAAATTTAAAGTGAAGACGTTGACATTCAAATCTTTCATTATGTATTAATATATTATAATTAATATCAATTAATGAAATTATTTTGGTTTGATTATGAATTTAAGTAAATTTCAAAATATTAATTCCCATGAATTATTTTTATTTTTTGTCGCTTTTACAAATTTATAATATTTTATACGCTACTTGTTTTTTTTAATATATATTTTTCTTCTTTGGTTATTTTATTATATTCAAGATCGGATTCAAATCTGTATTATAATCATAATATTATAAATAGTAAAATTCTCAATCATTATTAAATTTTCAATTTTCACCTGAGGTAAATATTTTTTAATTAAGTTAAGTTAATTTTTCAAATTTGTATCAATATAGTCCTTAAACAAATCGTGTATTTATAATATTTAGTATTTATAATATTATAAATACACGATTTTTTTAATCAAACAATTTAGTCGTTACGAATTAAACTTGACGATTTTGCCCTTCTTTTTTTAATGTATTTTATCTTTAATCAATTTCATATATTTCTCATTTTTAAATTTATAATTAAAGTTCTCTAAAAAAACAAATTAGTTAGGATTTATGTATAAAATAAACCCATTTAAATTATATATATATATATATTCAATTAATCTTAAATTTTTATAATTAAAAAAATCTAAATCACAACATCCATAAACTTGTTTTTTTAATACAAAATATCACATAAAATTAATATTAACTAACCTAATGAAAATAAAACATTAAACTATTAAAGATAAAAATGTTATATAAATTCAAAGTATATATATATATATATATATATATAGATATTTTGTTTGAAGATTGAGAAGGGTACTCTTGGAATAAAATATCATTTAAAAACATTTTTAGACAAAAAAATCCTTAAAAAAAAACAAACAAACATGGTTTTTTAAATATTCTCGAATAATTACAATTTTTTATATTTATAAGTTATATGTTGAAACGGGTAATATTTCAATTTTTAAAAGATTAAGAGTACTTTTTTAAATAAATGACAAAATGGAAGAATATTTTTATAATTTAACGATTTTTTTTTTTTTTTTTTTTTTG